ACCAGAACCAGGCAAAGACATTATAAGTAAACTTCAGAATACTACCTACTTGTGAGCATAGATGCAAAAATCTAAACCAAATTTCAGCAAATCAAATTCGACAGTGTATTAAAAGGTTAATATATCATGACCACTTGGTGTTTATCCCAGGAATGCAAGGTTGGTTTAACAATCAAAAAAAAATTGGGAAGCCTGGGTGGCTCAGTCGGTTAAGCATTGACCTTCGGCTCAGGTCATGATCCCAGCATCAGGCTGAGCAGGGAGCCTGCTTCTCCCTCTGCCTGCTCTGCCTGCCGCTCCCCCTGCTTGTGCTCTCTCTCTCTCTGACAAATAAATTAAATCTTTAAAAAAACAGTATAATTAATCATATTTACAAACTGAAAAGTAAAAATCATGATCATCTCAGTAGATGCAGAAAAATCATTTGAGTAATCCAATAAACATTCCTGATTAAAAAAAAAAAAACAAAACCCTTGAGCAAACTAGGAATAGAAGTGAGGTTCCTCAATCTGTTAATGGACATTCATGACAAACCTCATTTACTGACATTGTACTTACTGGCGAAAGATTGAATACTTTCTTTATACAATCAGGATCAAGATAGAGACGTTTACTTTCACCAGTCTTAGTCAACATTGTCCTGGAGGTTCTAGCTAGTGCAATCAGGGAAGAAAAAATAAATAAATGTTATTCACACAGGAAAGGAAGGAATAAAAACTGTCCTTATTCACAGATGGCCTGATTGTCTATGTCGAAAATTTCACAGAATTCTATTACCACTAATTGAATGAGTTTACTAAGGTTGAAGTATATAAGATTAATATAGAAAAATCAGGTGGGTTTCTGTAAAGTAGCAAGGAGCAATCAGAAATTTAAATAAAAATTACCATTTAATAAATATAAAAATATGAAATATGATAAATCTGACAAAATATGTTAAAGAAAATTGAAAACTACAAAATACTGTTGAAGGATCCCTAAATACATTGAGAGATACAATTGATACAGATTCTGTATTTTGAATTGAATTTTTTGCTAAAATTTATTTGTAATTCCCCAAATCAGTATTTGCAGTGCTTTGCAAAGTGGCACAAAATTTGAGTTGCCTGATGTGCACAGTCCAAACTGAGGATGAACATTCTATTGTCTTGTTTTAGCCCTCATGCATTAAGCAAGTGTCCTTTTCTTACTCTGTGTAGTGCCACATTTTTAGCATTTTGGTGTTTTTTGTTGGTGATTTAGCTGTTTAAAATGTCTCCTAAGCATGATGCTGAAGTGCTGGGTAGTATTCCTAAGCACAAGAAAGTTTGGATGTGCCTTATGGAGAAAGTACATGTATTTAGATAAGCTCTGTTCAGGCAGGAGTTAGAGTGTTGTCAGCTCCGAGTTCAGTGTTAATGAATCAACGATATATACTATAGGGGATCTATAAGCAGAAACACACGAAAAACAAGGTTATATATTGATTGAGAAAAATGTTACGACTAGAGGTCTGTAGGAACCCGTCTTTCCCCAAGTAGCAATGGTTTAATATTTGATAATCCACTGTTTATGGGGACATTATAAAACACAATTATCATGGAGATGTTTTTATTTCAATATTGAGAATTAACTGTATAACCTGTACATGAGTTGGAAAACTCAACTTCGTTAAAATGGTGATTTTTACCCAGTTAGTCTGAGGATTCAAGGGAATTCTTCCCTAATCCTTGCAGGCATTTTTGCCTAAAATAAAATTCATATGTAAATGCAAGAACTTAGAATAGCCAAAACAGGTGTGAAAAAGAACAGTGTTGTGGGGCCAACACTACCTAATTTCAAGAAATACTATAAAGCTACAGTAAAAGCAGCATTGGCATAAAAATAGGCAAATAGATCAATGAAACATAAGAGCTAGGCCAGAAATAAAAACCCACTTACATATTGAACACTGATTTTGACAAAGCCATAAAAAGCAATACAGTGGAAAAAATAATAGCATTTTTCACAAATAGGGCTTGAGCACTGCACATTGATCTACAAAAAATGGAATTGAATCCATATTTTGCACTATGTGCAAAAATTAATTCAAAATGGCCCAGAGACCTAAATGTGCAACCTAAAACTATAAAGCTTCCAAAAGAAAACATAGGGGAAAATCTTTGAGACCTTAACTAGGTAATGATTTCTTAGATACAAAACCAGGAGCACAATATATAAATGGACAAATTGATAAACTAGATGTTATTAAAATTAAAGTCTGCTCTTCAAAAGACACTAGGAAGAAAATGGAAAGAGATACCACATTCTGGGAGAAAATCTTTGCAAAACGTATACCTGACTATAATGACTTATATTTAGAATATATAAAGAACTTTTCAAATAAAACAATAAGAAAAATAACCCAATTATAAAATGGGTAAAATATTCAGATGGATGCTTCATTACAGGATAAATACAGGTAGTGTGTAAAAAAATTCAACATGTGTAGTCAATAGGGAAATGCAAATTAAAATCACAGTGAGATAACCATTACATAGCTGTTAGAATGGCTAAAGTTAAGAAGACCGACCATATCAAATGTTGGTAAGGCTACACCATATTTTAGCAGTGTTTAAATCCCAAGGTGGCTTCATTTGTAAAAGTCAGGGATTGTAGACATGGCACTTACAGCCTGCTGTGAATCAGGTCCTTGAGCATCTTCTTGTTTTTCAGAAACTTGGTAGCCCCGTAAAGACTAGAAAGGACAATAGCAGAGTCTGAAACTTTTACACTGTAAACTGTTCCCTACTTTTGGTATGGCTTTGTAATTTCTTTAAATATAAAGGTTATATTTATACATATTCATTGTGAAAAGGTGAAACAGTGTGGTACTACAAAGTAGAAAGTGAGGATTCTCCGGACACCTGGGTGGCTCAGTCATTAAGCGTCTGCCTTCAGCTCAGGTCATGATCCCGGGGTCCTGGGATGGAGTCCCACGTCGGGCCTCCTGCTCAACGGGGAACCTGCTTCTCCCTCTGCCTGCAGCTTCCCCTGCTAGTGCGTACACTCATTCTCTCTCTCTCTCTCTGACAAATAAATAAAATCAAAGAAAAAAAAAAGTGAGGATTCTCTCTGTTCCCTGCCAGTTGCATTTCTTCTTTAATGCATAGGCACCTGTTTGATTAAAAAAAAAAAAAATTAAAATGAGATCAGACAGTAAGCTCTCCTAGCTGTTTTTCATTTAACACTTTGTAACATTTTCCATGTCAGTGCATAAGCTCTGTACCTCATCTCTTCAAGGTTGCTCATCCCATTGTAGTTTAACTCAATAATTATTGATAGATACATATTTAGCTTCCTTATAGTTCTTCAGTTACAGTCTTGCTATGCACATTGTCACTGTGTATATTTTATGTGAGTCTTCCTGTAGTATGAATACCTAGATGTAGAATTGCTGTTTTAAAGATAGAGGCAATTGAAACTTTTTTTTTTTAGATCTACTTATTTATTTTACATGTGTGCAGGGGGGAGGGGCAGAGGGAGAGAAAGTCAAGCAGATTCCACACTGAGCACAGAACCCATCATGGGACTTGATCTCACAACCCTGAGATCACTACCTGAGCCGAAACCAAGAGTCGGAGGTTTAATCGACTGCACCACCCAGGTCCCCTGCAATTGAAACTTTAACCAGTATTGCCAGTTTGCTCACCAGAAAGTTTGTCCAAGTTCTGTTTGCATCGGTAGAGTTTGCACCCATTTTCCTACATCCTTGCTAATACTTACATGATCATTTTTACCATCTTTATCAGTTTAGTGTGGTAAATTACATTTCACTGGAATTCAAATTTTTATTTCTTTAGACATTAGTTTTTTGAGCAGATGTGTTTACTCAAATTGGGAGTCGATTGTGAGTACATTTGCCCTTTTTTTTTTTTTGGATTTAAAAAATTTATTTTGAGGGGAGGGGGTGGGGGGATGGGTTAGCCTGGTGATGGGTATTAAAGAGGGCACGTACTGAATGGAGCACTGGGTGTTATACGCAAACAGTGAATCATGGAACACTACATCTAAAACTAATGATGTAATGTATGGTGATTAACATAATGAAATTTAAAAAAAAAATTATTTTTATCATCTTTGTGTTTTATGGATGTAAACAGTTTTTCCTTACATGTTGCAAGTATTTCTCCAGTTTGTAGACTTTTTAAACATCATTTATGGTATGTCTTGCTGGTATGGGAGTTACACTTTTTTTTTTATTATGTTAATCACCATACATTACATCATTAGTTTTTTTTTTTTTTGAAGATTTTATTTATTTATTTGACAGAGAGAGACACAGCGAGAGAGGGAACACAAGCAGCAGGAGAGGGAGAGGGAGAAGCAGGCCTCCCGCGGAGCAGGGAGCCCAATGCGGGGCTCGATCCCAGGATCCTGGGATCATGACCTGAGCCGAAGGCAGACGCTTAACGACTGAGCCACCCAGGTGCCCCTACATCATTAGTTTTTGATGTGGTGTTCCATGATTCATTGTTTGAGTATAACACCCAGTGCTCCATTCAATATGTGCCCTCTTTAATACCCATCACTGGGCTAACCCATCCCCCCACCCCCCTTTTTATGTTATTAAATCTGTCAGTTTATCCCATTATGACTTTTAGGGTTCCCTTCTTACTTAGAAAAGTCGTTTGTCTTACAGGATTGTGACAGATATTTAGCCAAATTTTCTTGTGCTTTTGTCATATTTTTATATTTTACATTTTAATACTATGGAATTTATTTTTGTTTATATGAGGTAGGAACTTAAATTTTTCCTTAATTGGTAGGCAATTATAACAGAACAATTTGATCCTTGGGTAGTGATTTTGCTTGGACAACCTTAGGTTATAGTCTAATTTGAAGTTATATGGTTTGTTTTAGTTAGAGATATGGAGAGGTAGTCCTATTTCTCCTAGAAGGCAAGAGCGTGTGGAAGGCAAATTCCTTTGCTCTTTTGACTTTTTTTTTTTTTTTCCTTTTTATTTACTTGGGAATTAGGATGAGTCACTTCCAGTAGCAGGGCATAGGGGAAGGGAAGCCAGCAAAGAGACATAGAAACTGTGTCCAAGTCGTTTCTGGGACCGGGGATGAAAATGGATTCTTCTGTGGAGAGACTTGCCTTGGCAGGTGAGGTAGACTATGTATTAGCAACAGCTCTGGCTGCAATTTAACTACTTTAAAAATGTTGCTACTGTAAGTTCTGGCTTAGGAAACTTTTGGTGTTTTGGTGGATTCTGGTCAGTTTTTTCTGCTGTTTCCTTCTATGCATTCTGTTTTTTGTTAATGATTTACTTGAATTTGCTGGAATGTGATGTGTTTTATGTGCTTTCTTCTGCATGTGTGCTGTGAAGAAGCTTGGATTGTCTTTTCTCTTTTCTACCCTTGCTAGCTTGGTGAATTCCTTGTTTACTTAACTAATCTAATCACCACCTCTTGAAACCTGCCTTTCAGTACCTCTTTCACCTAAGAACTCCCTGTAACAGCCTTATTGTAGCATTGGTATTGTAGTATTGTATTTGTTTATGTGTCTGTTTCTTATACCATTCTGTGAGCTCTCTTGGGACAGGGATTTTGCCTATTGATTGAAAACTCTCAGCTCCATTATTTTGGTATAGTTTGAAGATTTAAGTCCCAGAGAGTCAGGATATTTTATAAAAATATGAAAGTAGGGTCTGTCTCAAAAAGACTAGAGTGTATCTATTTTTCGTTTGCTGATACTGTTGTTATAAGTATCTATTTACCAGTGTTACCTATCAAAGTTATGGTGAGTTACATGTAAACAAATTTCATATCAACAAAGATAGAATATTCCCTAACACAAATATGAGAAATCTTAAATGTCTTTTATATTACAGCTGGGAATTTTTCAGTGGAAACAAACTTATGATGTCATAAGTCAGTGGAAAAAAATAACATACATGTTTTTTGACAATATTAAAAAAGTCTATTTGTGTGAATAAAATCAGCTTATCCTAACAGAACATTTTAACTCAGAATATTTTTGATTGCAGGGCTATGAAAAAAAGTTTATAAAACTGTATCACTGTTTTCATAATTTGATGGTAGTATGTTTTAACAAATTGTTTATAATCAGAATAATAATGGATTCTTGTCATTGTTAACAGTTTTTGCATCATCTCGTTCAACCCATACAGTTACCCAGTAATATAAAAACAACTATTATTCTTGTTTTACTGTCTAGGAAAGTGACCTTTAAATACTTTCTCAAACTCAAATAGGTATCAGTGAGTGGCAGAGATATCCAAAACAGGCTCCTAACCATCATATGGCAGTTGCTCTCTCAAAATGACAAAGTCTTAGATTGTGAAATCCATTATCATTGATTTTATTTACTTTTAAGTAAGCTTCTATCCCAGCCACCAAACTGACTTGAAGCCTATTTCAAAATATCTTCCGTGAAAACATTCTTAGGTCTCTTGAAAATGTATACCTATGCAACAGTGTATGCATTTTTCACTTTTTGCACTATTGACTTTTCTAAGAAGTTATATATAAAAGTTAAGCTTATAGATCTCAATTTTTATAAATCAGTTGTTTTACAGTTTCATAGATGCTTTATTAAAATTTTGGTTTAATTTTTTAAAAAAGATTTATTGTTTATTTATTTTAGAGAGAGTAGCGAGATCGCACCTGTGCGATTGGGGGAGGGCAGAGGGAGAGAGAGAATCTCAATAGGCTCCCCATTGAGCTCAGATCCCCACATGGGGCTTGATCCCATGATCCAGAGATCATGACCTGAGCCAAAATCAAGAGTTGGTTGCTCACCTGACTGAGCCACCCAGGCATCCCAAAAATTTTGTTTTAATTCTTAATTATTGCTCTGTCACTGAGCTCTGTCAAGTAGTTAATACTAATAAAATTCCTGATTAAATAGAGGCACAGCTATTTAAAATAAAGTTTTAATCATTTTGTAAAATAAATTACAACTAGGACTAATTATTTTTAAATTTACCGAATTTAAACCTTTAAATATTAGTTATAAAGCTTTATCTATGTGAGATCCTGTGTGTATTTGCACACCTTTCACAACAAAACTTCAGCTACACATTAAAATGCTTTATAGGATTCATGTTATTTTTATGCAGCAAAAAGTCAAAGTTAGTGGAATACAAGTTTAACACCATGTTATTAGTTGGCACTTTGCTTTAAAGATTTAGATCAGGGTGCCTGGGTGGCTCAGTTGGTTAAGCGACTGCCTTCGGCTCAGGTCATGATCCTGGAGTCCCTGGATGGAGTCCCGCATTGGGCTTCCTGCTCGGCAGGGAGTCTGCTTCTCCCTCTGGCCCTCCCCCCTCTCATGCTCTCTCTCTCTCATTCTCTCTCTCAAATAAATAAATAAAATCTTTAAAAAATAAAAAAATAAAAAAAAATAAAGATTTAGATCAGGTTTTCTTACCAAACAAGTATAGAGAGCTATAAACATCATTTTTTAAAAATTTAAATTCAATTAGCCAACATAAATAAACTTACAATTTTAATCACATTTTAATATATTAAAAACCCATGCTATTAAAAATTTCCCCTATAACATTGTGCTTAATATGCTCCTAATATTTTTTGCATTGTAGCAGATGAATATATAGCATTGCTGAGTTACGAAAATTATACAGTAGTATAAATGCTATTTAAGTGATATGAAAAATTGACTGATTTTTACCAGGCTTTAATATATTTTCTCATTTTTAACAAATTGTCATTTTTCTTTGCTTCTTGATACAGATATGGGTATCTGTGTTATCTGTTGTACTTGAGTTATTTAATGCCATGGTATGCAAGGACCCAAACTGAGTATAGCCCAGGTCACTTTGTATTTTATATGATGACTGACTTTCTGGTACAATTTATAAAACTTAGAGTGGAATAAGTAAGATGCAGGTTTCCTCAAACCTCTTTTGACTTACTCTTGTCTTTTTTGTGCTGTTCCAAAAAGTAATAATTACTAGTTTTTTTTTTTATTTGTTTGTTTTACATGCCACTTAGAGTGGTTTAATTGTAGAATTGACTGTCAACTGTATTGGTCCTTCAGTTGGTTGTTTAGGTTCTCTTTTCTTTTACTTGTGCCTTACTAGGTATTTATGTAGTTTTTTAATCAAATAATTTCTTAATCGTAATGATTGTGATCAAATTATTGTATTAAATTATTGATCCTGAAAAGAGTATGAAAAAGTTAAGAGAATACTGTTTTGTTCATTAAACTTGCCTTAGAAAGTTAATAGGTAAAGTTTCTAAAACCAGCTATTTCCATTCATTTAATGTATTTTCCACACATTGTGATTAGTTTAACTGAGCAGAAAGTAAACCACTTGTGTGTTTTATGCTTAAGTTTTAAAATGTTTCTTGGTATTGATTAATAGGAGATGAAAGAAAACTAAAAAGCAGTTAATGTATCTATAAATGAGATGAGTGAATAATACAGGATAAAATAATACAGTATTAGGAAAATATTTTGAAGCTACTAATAATTGTCGTAGAATTTAGAATACCATACATTAAAAAATCTTAACCTCAAAACAACCTGTGAGTTAAGTAGGATAGATTTATTATACCCTTATCTTAAGGATAAAGCATAGAAGCCTTAGTTAAATTAAGTAAAAATCATTAAGACCTTGCAGGTTAGGGAAGGATTTCTTAAACAAGACATAGCAAGCACAGACTATAAAAGAAAAGATTGATAAATATAATACATAAAATAATCAATAGAAAAAAAGATAGGAGCAGTTCCCAAAGAGGAAACCCAAATGATCAATAACATGAGAAGATGATTAGACTCACTAGGAAAATGGGAATGCAAATTAAAATAATAGTGGGGAAAACAAAAACTAATAGAGGGGATACAATTTGTCAAACCTCAGGTTATCAAAAATTAAAATACCTGACCATACTGATGTTTTCAGGTTTGAAGGGAAGTGGTAATTTTCATACTGTCAGCAATTTGGTACAGTCATTCTGAGTGCCATTTGGCAGCATGTTTTTTACTCATAAGGGTAAAGAAACAACTTAAAAGGTCTATCAGTAGGGGAGTGGATTAGAAAACTGATGTGGTATTGTGATGGAAATTATACAGCAGTTAAAAGTAACGCGGTGGATCTATGTAAGTTATAATGTCAAAAACAACGAAGAGTGAAGAAAGTAAGTTGTGAAAAGTATATGTTATTTTACTATTAATGTGACTACCAAACTATATATATCTCAAGGCCATATTTTCATGGTTATACATACATGCCTATAAATGTATTTTAAAATATTCCAGAGGGATATATTCTAAATTCATATAGTAGTGGTTTCTGGAAAGGATAAAGGGAACTTAACTGGAATATAATACTGTTTTTTTTTTTTTTTTAATGAGACTTAAACATGGAAAGTATTAATTTCAGTTCGAAGTGGTAAGAACATGGACATTCGTTAAATTATCCTTTCTACTTTCTTTAAAATTTTGTTAACAAAAAGAAAAGGAAATTACTAAAAAGTAGTAGTTGGACGAGCTAGTACTTAAGCTTAGGCTTGATTCCCAAGTCTAGAGCTCTTTCAATTAATATGCTGCCTGAAAATTAGAAGGAAAAAAAGTAAGATCAAATAATAAAAAAGGTAGAATGTAGTTTTATAGTAATAAGAATCAGGAGAATTATGTGTTTATGCTAAACTTTTTTGAGAGGAAAAGAAAGTTAAAAGATAAACTAAAAATTATTATAATCATATTATTTAAAAACCTTTAAGCATGCTGTTTTCAAAAAATGTATAGAGAGTAATTTAGGTACTCACGGAAAAAGTTACCTTAATTTATTGTTTAAAATGTGATACATATTTCTGTTGCATGTAATGGAAGACTAATTTGAGTTTTTTATATAAAATTCATGAAAATAATTTAATCCAAATTTACAATCTGACTTCAATCTAAAAAAGTCAAAACTAGCTTTTCTTCCATTTTGTAAAGTCATTCTTCACAAAAACTTTAAAGCCTTTTTATTTACAGCTTCTCTCCAAGATAAAATGGCAAACCCCAAAGAGAAAACTCCAATGTGTCTGGTAAATGAGTTAGCCCGTTTCAATAGAGTCCAACCCCAGTATAAACTTCTGAAAGAAAGAGGGCCTGCTCATTCGAAGGTAAGGTTATGAAGAGAGGTGGTGAGACATGCTTATCAAAGTCTATCAGATTGATCATCTCAGGTTTTAATTGTGCTTCATTGTGGGGTGGGGGGAGGGGCAGCAGATGACCTGAAGGCTTTTAGTTCTATAGTAATAATATTTAGAAGTCTGTAACTAAACAATTTTATAGCTCATTATGGTTTACAAAGTTCTTTCAGATACAGTACTTCACAAAAACCTTAACAAATCAGGAGATGTGGATTTTGATTTCTGTTTTGTAAATTAACTTACGCACAGAAAAGTTAAGTGACTTGCTTAGTAATAGCTCATAAGTGCCCATGCCATCACTTGAATATGTGTTCTTTGGCTCCCAGGTACAGTGTTCTTTCCATTAAATTATAACTGCTAAAGTAAAAATGGACACAGAGTAAATATAACAACAGTTACCTAGTGAGACATCTTTTCTGGTGTGATACGGAATTATACGTTTCATCATTTATAAAAGTTTATAAATAACAACCAGTATTGTTGTTATTTATGCATTCATTCTTAATATTATTTTCTTAAGTGGAAAAGCAATTTATATTTATATATAGCCTCATACATGTTTACATATATATATTACAAAGAAGTCTATAATTAATGCATTTATGTTTGAGCTTTATTCATACGTTTTAAAAAGTCTCAGTTGTACACAAATTTCCATGGTACATTTTTAATCTTGGATTTGGAGGTATGTTGAAGCAATTAATTCTCTTAAGAGTTGGTTAATCTGTATAAAGCAATGGCTGTTGGATTATTTGTTTTCTAGTACCTCCTTCAAAGTAAGGGGAATAAGGTGAAACCGAAATCTGTTAAATCTGTTAATTTTGTTCCCTATTAGAGACTTTTATGAAGGATGTCTGGGCAACAGTTTAATTTGTTCATAATATCATTTGTGTAGAGAAAAAAAGTTGTAGCCTAAGTTAAGTCATTTATCCTGACTCTCTTTTGTGCCCATTAATTCATACTCATTTCATATTCATTCCCTTTCTGGCCTTAATCATGTTGAACTGTTTGCATTTCTTAGAATGTTCCGTGTTTTTTTCATATCTCTCTCCTTCGCCTATGTTGTAGTGTCTCCCCACCTTGAGGGTCCTTTTGTTCTTACACATTTTTGAACGGTCAGCTCACATACCATTAAACCTCTGTGAAACTTCTCTGATCCCTCCACTGGGCCTTCAGCAGGACCTTACTTCCTCAGGTGTAGTCACCGATGTGCTGTACATAATGATACATGTTGGTCATTACGATTGTACTAGACTGAGCTTTTTTAGGGTTATTGTTCTTCTATATTTTATGGCTCCTGTAGGATCTGTCTTCTTAGCTCCTCATTTCTAATTCCAGGAATTCTTCCCTGAGATGACTCCCCAGTTTTGAATTTCATGTTAATAGACTAACCCCCATGTCACCACGGTAGTCATTTGTTGACCTCTGGCTGATTCCATCACATTTCTCATGCCTCACTTTTACTCTAATTCATCATGTTTTAATTTTTGGTGATTTCGTTGAGTAGATGATTGATCCAACATGCTGACATTTCAGTTTCTTGCACTTCTATTGTTATCTTGCTTCCCTCTCCTCCAGCGACTCATTCCTGTGATCATACTCTTGACTTGATCATAACCAGTAACTGCGAGACCCTCCATAATTTTAATCTCAAGCATTCATCTCTCTCTGACATCTCCTAACTTTATAGTTCATTCCCTCTGTTTAACTTTAGTACTTCTTTCACACCACAAATCCATTGATTCTACCACCCTTTTACTATTTCTTACTTCTCTCAGTCCTCACATGGTTCTTATCCAGCTTAAATTCCATATACCTTGTATGTATCCTCATCAGTCTTGCTCCCCTTGGTTAGCACTTGCTAAGTGTCACTTATTGGGAGATTAACCAGTTACATGACAATTTACATATCTATGTATGTATATATGTTTGTATGTTATATACACCCACACATACTGTAGTGGTTCTCAACCTTGGTTGTTCATTGAAATCACCAAGGAAGCTTTAAAAAACACTTATGCCTGAGTCTTACCCTCAGAAATTCTAATTTGATTGGTCTTGGATGAAGCCCAGACATCGGGATTATTTTTAAGGTCTCAGATGACTCAAATGTGCATCCAGAGTTAAGAAACATAAGATAAATGTCTTCAGAGTGGTGTAGAGTTGTCTTTTCATACATACTTGTTGATGGGAAGTAGTTATGTTTACGTGCTTTCCTCTTTCCTCCACTGAGTCTTACAGAATCTGAACAATTTACGGCAATTTTTAACATGTAACTATTAAATAACAAATTGTAATATTTTCCTTGCCCTCTTTTGTTTTTCTGCTCACTTTCAAGTTGAACTCTGAAGTAATTTGGTATACCTTATATTAACATGAGTTATTACGACATTGCTATATCTCCCAGGTACCTAAATACAGTTCATTTTTTTTTTTTATGGATTGTTTTGACTTTTTAAACTTCTAAAGAAGGCTATTATAGTGTAGAGTGTAAGGAAGAGAATCAGAAAGAACACAAAATGTATTTTCTTCTTTTCCTCTATTTCCCTATTTTGAGAAGTTTTCAGTATGCATGAGTAAGTGGTAAGAAAGCTCCAGTAGCTACACTCTGAGGTTTACTTTGGAATAGGTATCACTGAGGGAGACAGTATAACCCAGTGGCTTTGAAGCCAAGTAGTCTTTTTTTTTCTTATGCTAGCTAGATTTGTCAAGCTTGATCTTTGCCCTGCATTATCCAGCTTATGTGGCCTTGAGCAAGTAATTTAGAGTTTCAGTTTTCTCATCTGTAATTTGAGAAATACGTTATCTGTTCTAGTGTAGTGTAATGGAATGATGATTTGTAAATTCTTAGCAACTATGTTGATGATGGGGGTACCCAGATAATTATATCATTGCTTGTTAGTGTATATAGGATTAAAAAAATCCTTGGTAAAATATCTATTGAGTATTTGCTATATCATAGGCACTTTTCTTTCATTGAAACTTCCTACTTTGTTGTCTTCTCTCATGTCCCTCCTTGGGTATTGTGAATACAAGTCCCTTATTAGATATATGTTTGGCAGTTATTTCCTCCTACTCTATGGCTTATCTTTTCTTTTTTTAACAGTATCTTTAGAGAGGAGTAGTTGTTAATTTTGATGAAGTCCAACTTATCCATTTATTCCCTGTATAGTTGTACTTTTGGTAGATGTCTAAGAAATCTTTGCCTTATAAAAGATAAGATTTTCTCCTATGTTATTTTATTAGTTTAGGTCTTACACTTAGATCATACAGTTAGGTCTTACATTTAGATCTAATTGCCATTTTGTGTTAATTTTTGTATGTCATGTAAGATATGGAGCAAGGCTTATTTATTTTTTTGCAAATGGATGTCCAGTTGTTGAAGAGATTATCCTTTCTTCACTGCACCTTTGTCAAAAATCAGCTGTCCATATATGTTTCCATTTCTGGAGTCTGTTCTGTTGATTTATGTTCTCATCTTTTTGCAAATGCTGTGCTGTTTGGTTTGCAGTAGCTTTATAATTCTTGAAATCTGGTTGTAATAGCCCATTAATTTTGTTCTTTTTTTCAGAATTGTTTCTTTGCATTTTTATATGAATTTAAAGTCAGCTTGTCCTTTCTATAAAACACCCTGCTGGGATTTTGAATAGAACTGCTGTGAATCTATAGCTCAATTTGGGGCAAATTAACATGGTAGAAAAATTGAGTTTTCCAACACACGAACAAACTATCTCTTATTTATTTAGATATTTTTTAATTTCTCTCAACAGTATTTGTAGTTTTCAGTAGTCAAGTATTTTATATCTTTAGATTTATCCCTAAGTATTTCATATTTTTGTTGCTCTTGTCCAGTGCTCGTTTTTTAAATTTTAGTTTCTTGTTCTTATTGATTATTGCTACTATATAGAAATACACCAATTTTTGTGTATTGATGTAGTATTCTGAAGTCTTGCTAAACTCACTTATCAGCTCTAGTAGCTTTTTAAAAAATTCCTTTTTAGATTTTGTTGGGGGTTCCACATGTCATTTATGAATAAAGACAGTTTAATTTTTTATTTAATTTTTAAATTTTTTTTAAAGATTTTATTTATTTGAGAGAGAGACAGAGTGAGAGAAAGCACAAGCTGGGAGGAAAGGGAGAAGCAGGCTCCCTGATTCAGGGCTCGATCCCAGGACCCTGGGATCATGACCTAGCCAAAGGCAGACGCTTAACTCACTGAGCCACCCAGGTGCTCGATTTAGACAGTTTTTAATCCTACTTTCCACTTTTAATGTCTTTTATTTATTTCTCTTGCCTGATTGCATTGGCTAGAACTTAAAGTGCAATGTTAAATAGAAGTGATGAGAGCAGACATCTCTCAACTTATTTCTGATCTTATGGGCAGTCATTTCAGTTTCCCCCCATTAATTATGTTAGATGTACCTTTTCTGTAGATGCCCTTTATCAGACTGAAGAAATTCTTTTCTACTTAACGTTTACTGAGAGTTTTTAACATGAATAGATGTTGATTTTTGTCATGTGGTTCTACATTGATTGAGATGGTAATATATGGTTTTTCTGTTTTTAATCTCAATATTGTGAATTATGTTGATTGACTCTCAAATGTAGAATCTACTCTTGCATTTCTGGGATAAAACACTTGGTTACAATGTATTAGCTCATTTCTATATTGATGGATCCCATTTGTTAGTAGATTTTTTTAAGCTTTTATTTAAAATCCAGTTAGTTAACATGAAGTGTAATATTAGTTTCAGGTGTACAATATTGTCATTCAGCAGTCTCGTACAACACCCAGTGCTCATCACAACAAGTGCACTTCTTAATCCCTATCACCTATTTTACCCATCTCCCCACCTACTTCCCCTCTGGTAGCCATCAGTTTGTTTTCTATAGTTAAGAATCTGTTTCTTGGTTTGCCTCCCTCTTTCTTTCTCCCCTTTGTTTTGTTTCTTAAATTCCACATGAGTGA